CCCACCGTCTCAAAACATTCTTTTTCTCTTTTCAATTTTAGACGAGGTCTTGATTAAAAAAAAGTCTTGATTAAAATAACCCCGCAGTCCCGTCTCCGCTGGCCGTCAGCTTACCTCGCCTTAGATACATACTTCTTCTGTACAGAAGCACCTTGCGTGTTCTGCCTTGCCCTGCGTGCCTTACGGTACCGTACCTCCCGACAGTGTCTCGTTATCCTCATCCTCATCCTCATCCTCATCCTCTCACTTATTTATTTTTTCATTTTGCCTCACTCTCAGTCCCCCATTCAGACTTATTGCGCGCGCAGGCCGTAGCATAACTTCTATTACTGTTCGTCAATTATGAAAAATATTCATGGTGGAAATCAGGACTGTGGTGAGTTTCGAGGTTGAAAGGACGCATCATCTTCATGCCCATGGCCACTGATCCCGCTGCCTATCCACAAGGCGCCGAGAACATTCATCAGGATGCAGACCCAGAACCACAGCGCGGCCGAGGCTCCACGAGGAGTACTCAGTTGGCTGCACCGTTGCGAATACCCAAGAACCGCAGCACTGGGAATCTCGCCGTTGTGGCTGAATTTCCTGAGAGAGCGAGGTTGAGGTTCTCTTTCGACACCGGGTCAGGCGTGGCAGAATCTGACCAAATCACAAGGTACGTTCTAGCGCAACGCGGTACTGTCTCCAAAATCCGAGAATAGGCACACGGGGTATAATGGAGAGGCATGTCACTACCCATAACCCACGCACATCTCCTTCGCCAATGTCACATGCATCTACTCAGCCGCCTTGTTACATACACACCAGAGTTCCCGTCTGCCAAAAAAAAAACCAAAAAAAAAACAAGAGAGACAAAAAAAGGAAAACTAGGCGGAAGGGAAGCTCGGGGGAGAAAAGAAGACCAAATTTCATACAAGTTGAAACATTATATTGGACTAAGGTCAGAAGTGACTACTAATATCTTTGCTTGTGTTAAAACAACAGATCTCCCATAATTACCGAACATGACCATGGGCTGGGTATCTCTGGTCTACGACGCATCCGTCAGCATCCCACTCCTCGCACTCCTACGATGCCTTCGAGCGCCGTATCTTCGCGAAGTCCGTCCGCCGGTCTCCTTCGCTCCACCTCGATGTCTATGATGCTCCCTTCAGGACATCATACCCCGTTATTGGGCCCCTCGTCTCCCAACTTCTCCGAAGACCTGTCTCGTTTTCCGTCCGAGTCCCTGCACTCATTCTCCTTCGCCCACCAATCTGAGGACTTCATACACAACCGTCAAAATGTGCTAAAACGGTCTCTAGAATTCATGAAAGACCGCATGGGATGGGCAGTTTCGTCGAATGCGGCCATGGCTAGCGCCCAAGCTAGGGTCTCCGGTGATCTCGAAACCCAGCATATGCTTGATCTTCTTGCTAGGGCACAGCTGGTTGGAGCCGGAAACTTGCCAAATGCCAATTCTTCCTTTAATCCAGGCCCGTTGACCGGACCCGCTCAAGTCTCTCAGGGTAATGTTTTCGAGAAGGACTTCATACCGAGGACAAGCAGCCCCGAGTCCTTCGTAACACCGCTTGTATCTCCAATTGCCCGAGGACCTACCGTGGATCAAATTTCAGATGCTACTGCACAGCCTACAGGAGGCGAAGGAGGCGAAGGAGGCATGACACTGTCAGAACAGGCAGATGCGTCTCAAGAGCAACCGGATTCTGAGAGCTCATCAAGGACGCCGACAAATGAGAGCGGTACCACGGCCAAGACGTCTCCTCCCATATCCAGACGCCCGAGCTTGAGGAGAAATTTTACGGACGTAGGAACGGCTGAGAAGCAGCAAAAGCTTGTGGATACCATGGCGCAGCCTTTCCTTGCTAGCTCGTCAGAAGGTTACCCCGAAGCATTACTATCTCCTATGCTCCCGCCATTTACTATAGCTGCCTCACTCGGTGCATCTGGGTCTCTAGGACCTGTGGTCCATGGTCATGCAGCTCGATGGGTTCCAGCAGCACAGGCCATCTTCACAACCGAATCCAAACCCCCATGGACGATATTGGCTGCGAATGACTTGGCTTGTTTAGTATTTGGCGTGACAAAAGCAGAGGTTCGGAAGATGGGGATCTTGGAAGTTGTGCAAGAGGAAAGACGAGCCTGGTTAGAGAACAAACTCCTTCGCGCTGATCCTGACGAGGTGGGGCAGGCACCTGCACAGACTGTACCGCAACCTGCTCCCTCAGTTGGCTCGTCGTTATTAGGAGGTCGTGGGGGTATCACGGCACAATTGCTAAGCAAACCAAACTCCAGATCCCAGCCTCCAAAGACACCTGCCCGGCGAGCACAGACTGTGCACAGCGGAGATACTACGCCGTCTAAATCTCGAGGTGCGAATCATCGCAGCTCAAAGTCAAGAGGGGTATTGCTCTGTGGTGACGTTGTCCCTATACGAAAGCGCAACGGGGCAACAGGTTCTGCGAGTCTGTGGGTTAAGGAGAAGAGGGTAGGGTTGATATGGGTCCTCGAAGAAATTCACGAGGATGTTGCCCTCGTGAGTCTTGACGACGATGGGATTGTCACCAAGGTCTCCGGAGACACGGGTGCAATATGGGGAGATGAAAACCTACAGCCAGGCATGGACATCGGGAAGTTGATCCCCCGTATTCCTCGACAAGGTATCGATCCTAGATATGGCGCAATAGACTATGCTCAAATTGCGAAACGCAGGTATTTTACTTGTCGATATGGGGGGAAAATAAACATTCCTGCTATAGTCACACAGACGAGAGGCCAGACTGAACTACGGGTTTCAAGCTTTCCCCATATTGCGGGCATCATCGTAGTCTCTCCGGATACCCTCCAAATCAAGAGCTCAAATTCAGCATTCTGTGGGGCCCTCTTCGGTTATGAAAAGCCGGAGGGACAGTCGATCACTAACCTGATTCCGGACTTCGACAAGGTTCTCGAAATATTGGTTGATCACGATGGGATTCATCTTCAAGATGGCATTGTAGTGCCTGAACATAGCTTCAGAAAAGCGTCTACTTTGTTGGCCTTACAAGATGGCAGACCAGATGCTACCAGCGCTTTCCTAAATCCCGACGGGCTCCCGGCGAAACACCGTGACGGCACCGAGTTAAAGATCGACGTTCAGATGAGAGTAGTAAAGAGCGAAAAGCACTCCAGCAATGATTCAGGTGCGAGCGATGATGAGTCACAGGGAAACGAAAGCGATATTGAATCAGAGGTGGTTTACGCGTTATGGATCACCTATTCTCGTCACTTACATACGTCCAACATCATGAAGTCATCAGCAGCCCCCAATTCCAAATCACCAGAGTTGTCCGGGGCAGTATCTCCTTTACACCAACCCTCTCCTGGTCAGACACCAGCGCATACACCCATGGACATGAGCTCGGATACGGAAGAGTCAAAGTCCAGGCCTACCTCCGCTGCGTCGGGGTTGTCGCAACAGCTTAAAGTCGCTGCAATAAATGCAGCTGCTAAACTCACCGGGGCATCTAAGACCTCAGAAAAACAATCACCATCACCATCACCGCCTCAAACTAACGCTCCAAACCGTAAAAAGACTATCGATGATTTCGTCATACTTGAAGACATGGGCCAGGGTGCTTACGGCCAAGTGAAACTAGCACGGTACAAGTACAACGGCGGGAAGAAGGTTGTGCTAAAGTATGTGACAAAGCGGCGAATTCTCGTTGATACGTGGATCAGAGATCGACGCCTCGGCACAGTCCCCCTTGAGATACACGTCTTGGATTATCTCCGACGAGATGACCTTAAGCATCCTAACATTGTAGAGATGGAGGACTTCTTCGAGGACGAGACAAACTATTACATCGAAATGGCGCCTCATGGATATCCAGGGATGGACCTCTTCGATTACATTGAGCTCCGTGCTAACATGGAAGAAGAGGAATGTCGAAGCATTTTTGTCCAGGTCGCTAGGGCGATACACCATCTCCACACGAAAGCGGGGGTGGTCCATCGTGACATCAAGGATGAAAACGTCATTTTAGACGGTGAAAGGCACATTAAGCTAATCGACTTTGGAAGCGCAGCATACATCAAGAATGGGCCTTTTGACGTCTTTGTAGGCACTATTGGTACGTCACTCTTCTCGTCAATGTTCGGTATATCGACTAACCCAAATTTACTTTAGATTATGCGGCTCCAGAAGTGTTAGCAGGGAAGCCGTATAGCGGTAAAGAACAAGACGTATGGGCTCTCGGAATTTTGCTTTACACCATCATCTACAAGGAGAACCCATTCTACAGCATCGACGAGATAATGGACCGTGATTTAAGAGTGCCATATGTAATCAGCGAAGAGAGCATTAACCTCATCCGATGTATGCTTGATCGTGATCTCACGCGGCGGTACGACATCGAACAAGTGCTTCAGCATCCCTGGTGCCAGATGGATTGAAGATGTGGCGATAGGGGATGAACAGCTGGGCTGTCCCATGAGGACTAAGGGGGGATACGAGGGAGGAAGGGTTTGTACGGCCGGGTTGGTTTTATGGGCTAGCTAGACTGTTATTGGAGAACAGAGCACACAGCACACAGCACAGAATTGGGGAATGAAGACAATTTACTGCATGATACCCAGCTCTCGAAAAACTGCAATTTTACGAGGGGTTTAGGAAGAGTAACGCAAAGAGCTATCTATAAAATACGGAATCAAGCAAGCAAGGAAACACGCAGAATGGGGCTGGCGCAAGGTCTATGTTCCCCATCTTAGGTATTTGTTTCTAGAGCAAGTCAGCGTACATCGGCGGTGGAAATCAGCATACGCTTCCGGCACGGAGTTTTTTTTCTTTTACAGGGCTCTATGACATTGACACACATGATATATATAAAAAAAAACCAAAGAATGGCTGGCTTTTTTCCTTTTTTTTCTTCTGGATTCTAATTCCTAAGTTTCACAAGTCTGCCGTATCAGGCTAAATTTGTCCTAGTTTTATTTATCTTCTCATGTCTGCTTACTGCATTGGTTGGGCTGGCATATGGGTTCGGGTACGGGATACACTGAAGTTGGATTGGAGGGTGAGGTGCTGGGACGTGACTGGAGAGCTGTGAGCTGAGGTATGTAGTTAGGTCTGTAGACAAGTAAAGGAAATAAGGTATATGACGAATTTATGGATTGCCTTTCCTTTGTTTAACTACCCGAAAAGAGAAGACTAGGGTTCTTGTATGGTTGTTCTGATAACGTGACGGCGTGACGAGAAGCCAAGGGGAACATAAGATATCGATATATCGACTAAATCAAATACTTATATACCTCGTACTCGGAGTCGAGTACGATATTAATCACGAGAACGTCGTGTTCCTTGAAGCCCGCATATACTTCGTAGCTATACGCGATATAGATAAGTACCTAAAATATACCCAATATGCCTTATATTCATATAGTCACATAAATCTCGTTACATTACGTCCTTAGGCTAGATATTTATATGCATATACCCACCCAAGCCGTCAAACTACCAAACTACAGCCCTTGGCCCATCTACCCCGCCTTAACTCTTCCCCTTCCGTATCTCCTCCATGCCAAAGATATCCCCCGGCAGCACGGCGTTTCCAGTTTCGTCGGCAGCAATTTCGCCGAACAGGAACGCGGTGCGCTCGCGGCTAGCGTTCGCAGACGGTCTCTTGCGGTGCGAAGACTCTATAGGTGGTAGGTTTGAAGGGAATATGGAGGGAGAGGAAGATGATGGCGCAGCGTCAGGTTCTAGCATCCAGGAGAAGGAGGATTGTGCGAGGGTGGACCGTGTAGGGATAGGGGGTTGGGGACGTTCCAGCTTCTTCTCTACTATCGACGCTGCTGGCGCCCCAGAGCCTAATGGATCATTATCTATGTTAATTTTATCCGGATCCGGTAGGGACGACTTGATTGACAAGGGGTTTGTGTTTTCGGGATTTTGAGGATATATTGCTTGAGCTGGCGCGTCGAGAGATATTGCTGCAACCGCCTTGCTTAAAGGCTCGGGGTCGAGTTTTTCGTCGCCGCCGGTGGGTGTATCTGATGGTATCGACGACACTGGCTCTTCCTCGTCTGGAAGATCCAAGGTAGAATCTTCTAGGTATATTTTAATGAACTGTACCTTCGCAGCAGCAATCTCGAGAGCATCTAGGCATTTCCGCTTGTCTTCTAGATCGGAACTTGCAAGACTCTTCAAACTAGTAAGAGGCTCGTCAAGTAACGCTGCCAGGCGCCTATTTCTTCGATCCAGCATTGCGACAGCTCGTACCGTCGTGCTCGAGCCCGGTTCGCCTAAGAGATCCCTACCTGCCTTTATAGAGGTTCTAGCTTCTTGAACGTTACGGCGTATCTCTACCATGGCATCGCGTACTGCTTGATTAATGCCGAGTTTCTCTCCTCTCTCGAGTACGCCCTTAGCCGCACCTTGTAGCAATGCCTCCATACCACCCTGCGGTGACTTGAAGCGAGTAGGTGATAAAGGTGATCTAGCACCAGCTAACTTCCGCCGTATGTTTGAAGCTGACACCTTAGGCATAGATGCTTCGTAATTAGCCCCTAAAGGCGAGGGAGATCTTCCGGTATACTTTGCTATAAGCGCAGAGCCTCCGGCTGAGTCTAGATGCTCTCTAAGATAGACTGCATCGTCGATGAAAGTATATGGGCCATGTGATTGCTGCGGGGGTGGATATTTGAGTAGTAATTGCAACGCAACAGTATAGTCCGCATTGAGTACTATTAAGCATTAGAATATGATCATACGGGGGGAAAGGCTGGGGTCTTACAGTCCCATCGAATTCTGATCAACATCGCTGTGCAAACCAAGTCTATCAGTCTAAATGACGGATCGACGGAGAAGAGGGTATCCCAAAGCACGAGCATCTGGTCAAAGGGGAATTCGCGACTAAATAAGAGACGGATCCAGCGACTATAATAAAGTGTGGTACTCGTTAGTAATAATATTTACTTTACATAAGGGGGTTAAAGGAATGAAAGAGAAGCTTACATTAAGAAAACCTGCGGTAAAATTTCAATATTCTTAAGGTGAGTTGAGAGTTCGGGGTCTACTTTGAATAGACAAACTTCGTGTATATACTGGCTTTTCTCGACAATAGAGGATGTAGTAGAACGCTGATCAAATGTTGTGAGCGGCGCATTTGTTGCCGACTCGGTAACTTCATAGAATGACCTTGCACGATCCATGACCTTTGAGAAAAGAGCGAATGCGTCGTGTTCAATAAACGACGCGTCTAAGATTTCCAACATTCTTGGGTCGACTGAATCGCTTGAAGCAATATCGACCGGGTCGATGGCATCTTGTTCTACGATATAGACAATTGGCGCCAGAAGCTCATGCATGCCCTGACGATACCCGCCTATGCCTGGATTAAGTTTACAATAGACGAAAAGGACATCCAGGATGAGCGTCTGTATCTCAGGCTGGTGGTAGAACGGCTCGTCCGGCAGGCGTTGAACATCTTGAAGAATCTCAGCCCTAAGTGCTTGATCATGGCGGAGAGTGTTCCAAGGTGACTAACTCAAGTCAATACTAATAATCTAGGTTCATCGTTTTGAGGGACCCTCTTACATTGGCATCATCTGCCAAGGGGTCGACGGAGTCGGCTGTAAGATGCTCGGGGTGCTTTATATATTTTAAGAAATGATCTCTCAGAGATGAGTATGTCGTTCGTGACTCCGAAATGTCGTGGGACCAGTCCACGATATTAGTAGACTGGGTGAGTAAGAAGACCTGGGTGTCTCGGGTCAATTCCGATCAGGGTATTCGGTTCTAAGAGCAACAAACCTTCCAGCAGATAGACCTACATCCCGAAATGCAGGGGCTTCTCGGGCCGTTGTCCTTGACGGCTCGTTGCAGATCTGCAAGGCTAATGCTATGCTTCAGAGTCTCTTGCCATCGTGTGCTACGGCGGGATCAGCTGAGAACAGTATCTGATGGGAAGCATGTGGACTTACGTCGACTCGACCAAAGATCTCATTATGATTTCTCTAGCCTTAGGTACCTATTCCGATTGTCTACTATGATAATTGATATATTAGGTACTGATTGGAGAAAGGCTAAGGGAGAGACTGGTCTGAAGTTGGGAAAGGCTGGCTGCCAGCTGACAGCTGTTAACCTAGAACCTAGAGAGTTGGAGGTGGCGATTTGATAAGAGTCGAAGCCCCGCGATTTAGTCGATTTCCAGTGTTGTTACGTCAGCTTTAGTTGCTTTGACGCTAATGCACCGCTAAAGCAATACAAATATGTACATGGCATGTACAATTTAACCTAGCACTTACACGGTTTACGTTTTGATCTCATAGACGTCTTATATAACTGAATTAGAGATGAGTTAAGAGTTAAGTCTATTCTACATTAGGGTAGAGATGTACTATGACCTTATAATTCAATGACTAAAGGTTCTTCATCCCGCAATGCCCGCCATCGATTAGTAGAATCGAGCATATCCCAGCAATCTTTCACAAGAAATGGGAAGTCTTTTATGAATCCTTCGGTTAGCTCCCACCCCTCAGCTCGCCAAGGATCGTCCCAAGCTATCAACCCATTTAGCTCCAGCATGTTTGCTGTTCCGGAAATGGAACCTGTCACAGCTACTTCAACATCTTTCTTCGTGAAATATCCTGCCGCTAGTATTGCGTTATCACGCATTTGCTTGTCTGGTATGAGATCAATCCATGGCTCGTGCGGCATGTTTCGTTGCAGCTCTGTTTGCTGGAGAGACTCAGGGATGGTGGATGGAGCTGGGAAGAGTGTCATATTGACCCAGTGTCGAGAACATTCTGGAGCGAAGGCGTCCTGGAGGCCTAGAATTGTCATGTTGGTTAAGACGCCACGGATAAAGTTATATTGTACCAAGGGTATTAAATGGTCCAGTGTAAGTGGAAATATAGTTGCATGATCTCTGGAGGCATAATGCCTCCCTTGTAACTGTAGCTTCGAGAACTTAACGGCCAAGGAATTAGTCTCACTTTGCGTGTTGCATCCATTATTCTCTAGGTAATGACATTGTTCTGCTGTGCCTGTCGTGTTAGGATTAGTCTGGGTTTTCGCTTTCGATAGCAAGGCTTTTCGTCTCCCTAACAACGTTTAGGACGAGCGGTAAGATGAGGCTACCCTAAGTAAGTTACTTACGATGTGCGCGGACGTTTAGTCGGTTTTGTAACTTTCGTCTCACCTTTGCGTCCTTCAGCCCGGACCAATCTTCCTCGGGGCCAAGTGCCTGTATGTTCCATCTTGCGTTAGTAAAGGTTGCCTTCTGATAAAAAGAATGTTACGCATTAGCCTAGTTACCTCTTTTAGAGTATGCATTATTCTAGGAGTCGATAGACCTTGGTATACTCTTCTAAAGGGAGTCTACCTAGTAGGTTAGACTGTTAGTATATAGATGCATATGTATAGATGCTACCGGCTTACACAAAACGTATGCAGTTTTTTATATGAGAGCCTATAAAATTGTCTGAAGCATCACGGAGTTTACTGCGCGGTTGATTATTGTGCCATACTACAAGGATCGATCTGACATGACTACCTCATATGTAGAATCCGCTTATGAGACTATGTAACAGGGGTGAGATATTCTTAGCATAGGTACATATTCACGTCTGTAGGTACACTAGGCGCAGTCCGTTCGAACTCTCTAATGGCTTTAACAGAATTTACATTTAAGAACAATAGCAACTACCTCATAAAAATATCATATGAGGTGGGAGTTAAAGTAAAAGTATCTAAAAATTTTGAGCTGCCTAGAATTAATTATAAAAATTTAAAACTTAAGACCTTCACATTTAGGTACCTGTTTATTACATTATATACATAAGGTACTTGGGTACTTGAGCTGGGTACGATCTACAAAAAAATAGTACCTGCTATTTTTGGTTAGTGCATTTTCTGCCCGAAAGCTTGCCGGAATCCCTGCCACCGATCAAATCCGCTTAACCCGACCCCGTTTCTCGGGTTCAGCCTCAACACCGATACTTTCTTTACTTTTTTTCTTTATTCCCGGCATAACGAACATAGCACGAAATGTGCTTTATTAGTCTATTCTAGTTATACATATGGAATCTGTTAACTAATCAGTCTTAGCGTCTATGTGATATGTCCGCAGATCTCTTTGCTGCCTTTGAGGACGCCTCGGAGGGTCCCTCCAAAGGGCATCAACCGAAGACCTCCGTTCAGGCTTCCTCATTTGCATCAGATCCTTTTTCCTTCGGAGCCGGCAGTGTAGCGAGTACTACCACTAGTACAAGACAGCATACAAGCTCCGCATCTCAGCCATGGAACAACGGACCAGCCCGGTGGAGCGGCCAGCTGCAAAATACTCAACAGCCCTTAGGTGCAAATGCATGGGTAGGCACCCCGTTACAACCTAGTCAGTCAAACTTCAAGGAGGAAGACGATGATGACGATGGCTGGGGTGAGTTTGAGGTTGCAGAGAGTGCGAATCAGCCACCTATTCCCCCAGCAGCATCGACTTCTCTGTCGGTCCCAACAAGTAAGGAGCCGCGGAATCCGACATCACAACGGACAAGAGTTGTACGGGCATCGACGATAGATCTTATGACGAATAATCTACTCGACCTTAACAATTTAGCTATATCACAGGGCAAAGTAGGCGGATCATCATCGACGCAAACTGCATCTAAACAAGTTAAGACAATATCTAATACGGCTTCTTCGGGACCTTCAAGGAAAGCTTCCAATTCAAACCCCAATGTCTTGTTCGATGCCGATGACTTCGGTGGAGAGCAGCATGAAGGGGGAGACGACGAGGACTTCGGAGAATTCGAAACTGTTGTCTCTCCCGTGCAGGCAGCGCCGGACCTCTTATCAATTGATTCCTATTCGCCTCCAAAGACCACTAAGCCACAAGCCGCTCAAATGCTTTCGCCTTTGAATTTGACCGAGCCCGTTTCTTATCCGCAGGCACCACGATCCCCGTCATTCCAAGAAAGAAATCCCTTTCCTGGGCTTGCTGTTGCTACGCCGATAGTAGAAAAGTCGCACACGAATGATCCGAAAACGTCGCCGGCGACTGCATGGCCGACCCTTGACGCCCAGAAATCTGCGGGGAGCGATGGGCTGGGCGATGATTGGGGCGCATTTGATGACTTTCCTGATGAGCAAACGAAGTCCAACACTAAGGCCAATTCAGATTGGGATTGGAACTCAACAGAGCCGGCTCAGCTTAAACCAACCACTACTCGAGTACCACCGATAGTGTCCAAGCCTCAAAGCTCGTCTTGGGATTGGAACCCCGTCGATACCAAGGCTGACAAGCAGACTACTGAGCCGAGTGATGACTTACCACCAACTAATGTGCCTCCTCCATCAGTATTATTGTCAATATTCCCGGAACTATTCGCCCAAGCGAACACGTCACTGTATAAACCTGTTAGCGGACAACCTTTTTCTGTAAAAAACCGCATTCTATCAGATCCGAAGACGGTCGAGTTTCTCAAGGGCTATCTAGCTCTAGCGACGGTACTGGCGCGTATTATCGCCGGTCGCAAGCTAAGGTGGCATAGAGACAAGTTTCTCGCGCAGAGGATGTCCATATCAGCCGCGGGAAGCAAAGGAATGAAGCTCGCTGGCGTAGATAAGGCACAAGCAGCACGTGAAGACCGTGAGGCAGCTGACGTCGTAGCTAATTGGAAGGAACAAATAGGTCGTCTTCGGTCTGCAGTTGCTGCTGCTAATTCGTCAATCAAGAATAAGACAGAGCAACTGAAGATTCCGGAAATCTCGGAATCAATGCAGATTCATACCGAGAAGATGGTACCGACTGCCCCTAAGTCGTGCATTATCTGTGGCCTAAAACGCAATGAGAGAGTACCAAAAGTCGATTACGAGGTCGAAGATAGCTTCGGTGAATGGTGGGTTGACCATTGGGGGCATCTAGCATGCAAGAGATTCTGGTTACAGCATGAGAATGCCCTACGACAAAGATGAGTCTCACGCCTCACCGACAACAGCCAGTCGTGTATCGAGATCGGCACTACGAATAAATACTAAAGCAGACAAGCTCTTATCTTTCTGACCAATACCATCGGTATCAAAATCGATTACAATAATCAAACGCTGGATGTCCGCCTATCTCCATGATTTGGCCCTTCACCGCTGGATACCCTCTAACATTTACCGTTGCTTTTCGAGTCGTCACCCCTGAGTAATACCGGAAAGCGGATAATATATCAACTACATGTGGTCGTCGTGGTGTTGTTTTGTGACCGTAAGCTGCACGGCGACAGCCGTACGCCAACATCTCCAAGCACACAATGTCATGATAAGATTCAGAAGTCATTACCCCTCAACAGACGACAAATAGTTATCTTCAATCGTTTTATGGCTGACCAATTAATGGTTTGTGGGCAAAGGGGCTCACTCTAGAGTCCTTTTCCCAGTAACATGCCTCACAGCAAACAGCTCCTCGCGGCTTTCTCCCTCGGCGACTCGAGATGCCTCGTTAATTGCCACGTTGGATGGGGGGTATGACTAGTCCAGCGGAATGAAACCTCATGAGCATGCTGTTGTTTATGACACGTCTAACCGGCCTCTCTCTCATATAAACTCGTTGCCCGCTTTTGCCGCCCTAGGAATCATGCAGGATCGAGTCGCACAACATATGCATCTCGCAGCTTATTCTTCACGGAACTACTCGCAAGAGATTAGTGAGCAACCCGAATTAACTTGCTAGCGAGCCCCGGCTTGATCTCGGGGTTTTAATCGATAAATGAATAACGCCTCGTGTACCTGATATACAAATATATAATGTGCCTTTCGAGGATGTGAATAACAAACTATCAATAGTGTACTTTATTAAACTAAAAGGAAATGATTTCTCAAGCCTCTAACCAATGTTCTCAAGTTTTAGTCTCGCCTACCCTGTAAGGCTAACATTCGATGATTCGATGAGAAAGACACTTGGTTACAAGGGTTCTTCGAATTCCAACATTATCCTAACCTAAGTGTTTCTCTATTTGTACGGAGGACCAACCGTAAAGCGGTACAAGTTCCGGCTTGCATGTCAAAAAAGTAGGCAAGCCATATGATTCGCCTTGGGGCTACCATTACGCCGTGGCTCTGGAGCCAATACCACACGGCTCACCCCCTTATTGGGTGACATCAAGAACTTTAACGGTTTCATTATGGAGGCTTGAACCGTGCCTTGCAATTGGAACAATGGGTCCGAGACGCGGAGGCCATTGTTGTATTTGTTTCGGTCGGCACAGTCACACAACCAACTTCATGTTGTCGGGATTGGGGTTTGTTTGACGCATACACGTCTATACAGATCACAGAAGTGATTATTCTTATTCCTAATCTACACATGGTAAATTCAAGTCGTACGGGACTTAAGGGACTGCATCTGAAATAGTTTCTCATAGCAAATGTGTCCCAGGTTATGTCCCCCCTTTCTGTAACATCTCGAGGCTTGTTACATAAATAGGAGGGCGAGGAGGATTGAATTGCCATAAAACCTTATAGTAGTATATCAATCATTTCGCTCGCCCTGGGTGTTTCGGTTCGGCTTGTGATACTAGACTTTGCGAAGAATCTCGATGCTAATCACTGATAATGCGTTGCTACCAACTCCCTTCTCCTATAATACTAGTGATACAACAAGGATATCAATGTAGTATTATACTTTCGAGAGAGGAAATGAAGTTCAAGGGCTATATCTAATTAAATTGTTATAAGAGAAAAGTAAAATGCTATGCTTGACACCGCAGGATCGTGAGAACTGAGTATTTGTTAGAGAAACATGTCTGATATATGGACTTCAAGTATCTTATGCTGTCCTACAAGGTACAGTTTTCTTACATGCAGGAAGACTAACGAGTCTACAAATTAATAGACGGTTTTTATTCCACTAGACTTTTACGAAGAAAGATAAGTCATTAAATAGATGGCGATAGAGGTTAAAAGTAAACTAAATGTGTCGAGATAGGTACTTGGAAGGAAAAACATGTCATAGCGTCGACTTACACGGGGATCCATATGCAAGTTATGATATAGATACAGTTATATTTCAAAATTAATACACCGATACCTTTGCGTAAGGTTGCTTGTCACCTTACAAATAAGACTACCTAATGGAAAATGTTGCCATAGTTGGTGGTATGTAGTAATGTAAGTGGTAAAAGCGTTGAATAAACAATCAATAACTTAGGTAACTAGGTGAATTAAAGTGAGGCGTTCAAAAGAAAAGTGGAGAAATGCATGTATGTACATAAATGGACGTGTGCATGCCTATACCTGTGCTTGTATTTATTGTGCTTCTACCTGAGTGCAGTATTAACTTTCATTAGTCCAGGTACCAAGGTTTGGGTCGTTTACAACTGGTACTATGTACTTAAATACGGAAGACTCCGATTATGCGCATTGAGACTCGATCATGAGACTTGAACCAACACATATCAATATATTTGTTTTTTTTTTCCGTCTTAAGTGAACCCCCCTGGAATGTTTTTATTTATAAGTCTTACTGGGAATAACATAGGCTACTTGGATAACTACATAGGTCCCGGAATCAGCTATGTAGTTGACACATCAGACCCAAGCCTACTTGCCCACTTACCGAATGTACTTCGTACGTGAGTACCTAGTGTAAGTACGTAATGTCAGGGATTTACATAAGGAACCCCTCTTTCTCTATCCGAACTCCCCACGTCTCTTTCTGCAGGTGGCACGGTCACTGAGCGATATCGACTTAAAAGAAGCCTACTTGTTCTTGCATATCCTCTTTATGAGGCTTGCTGCCGTCAACGAGGTGCCATTACGTCATTAGCTACATATGCCCACTTAGGCGTAAGCGCCTTGGTCTGATTGTATTGGTGATTAACTTAGATATATTAAGTAAGAAAGGTATAAGAAATGCCATATGTAGGTAGTTTAGATATGTAGGATACCTATGCGTGTAGGTGATAGCCTGCAAAATAGAGTTGTGGGAATGTACGAAGTACCTTCTCTATCTAAGCCTATGATGAACCGTGTGAGGTATGTACGTTAGGTGTTGTATTGGTACTAGCTGGATAGTACTACCGACGCAAGAACGTGCTTGCTGCACCCAACCTTGTCCTAAATTGTCATCTACCATACCTAACAGTAGTCGAGACTTCCATACCTCTTACCTCTTACCTCTTAGGCCTATTACCTCTTAGTCGCCTACGCTTCCAGGTTCTTTCTTCAATCCCGCTTCCCAGTCTCCCTCTTACTTCTTTCTCCGTACCTTTTCTCGCCTCGACCAAAATTCAACTCATCTATCTCCTCCTTACCAACCCTCCCACCATACACACAACCTCTCCGTAACCTCACTTCTATCAACCCCTTCCCCTTCTCTCCGTTCTCATCTTCCTCGTCGTTTTCGTTCTCTCACCCCTCAACCACTAAACTCTTCTCATACATTCGAACGCCCCCTTCACTCTTCTTTGTCCTATCTGGACCAACCAACTTCTTTTTACCAGAGACACAGCCCACGCTGGTACATACGGTACTAGTTGTCGCAATTGGCCTCTTTCCTTATTTAGGACCCATTGCCGCTTATCCAACCCCGGTCAAACGCACCGTTACCTACCTTACATACTTACTAGGCCACCTTGGCCGGCCTGCCGAGACCCAGACGTCGACTGCAGTCCCTGTCTCCATCTAAAAATCCAAAAAGTCCCCGTTCTCGCGTGGATTGTGATAGCAAGACCCTAGGTAGGGAAACAAGCGAGAAGGACAGTAGAGGGGAAAAAAGGAAGAAAAAAAAAACCTTCCCACCCCGCAACACCAACCAGACCCGGCTAGAACGCAAGAATTTCTTTGAAGACATACTGCGCAGCACAGACACAGCAGCGGAAGGTCAGTCAAGTATGCAGTGCCCCGCCTATTCAAGCCCCAGTTTCGCATAATAACTTATTACCCTTTCTTCCTAATGGTTCTGCATTGGCTGTATTTTTTATTTCTATTTTCTACAACCACATGCCAAAATCGTGCAGATGCAACAGCCTCTGACGAGATAAGATCTGTTTGTCAATCTCGTTTCAACCGTTTCTTGGTCCTCTTTCCTCTTCTGAGCCTCGCATCCTTCCCATACATGACCATTGATAGATACCTTCCCCGCAGCAACACACACAGCTTATCAGAGCTAACTGCGTGCAGCCCGTCCTTTACCACCAGATCTGGAGCTTACAGCAATCCACTCCTGTACCACTTTTTCTACGTACACCCGCCCCCATTCAGCGCCAGCCAACAAGATCTCCTGCGCACCCATAGCTCTTCGAGGAGACACTGGGAGCTACTAGTTCCTAATTAACTCGGATCAAACCACCCAGTCAGACGCGGCTGACATAGCAAATACCACCCCAAACTAACATCGTCATACACAACCTATCCGTCAACATGTCTGTTGCCCAAGACGCTCTCTCGCCGAATGGTAACGATCTACCGTCGCTATCCATGGGCGATCTGAAGCTCGATGAGAACGAGCCTCGCTTAGGCCCGGATGGCGAGCCCGCACCTAAGACTGACGAGGAATATGCTGTAGCACAATTGACGCTTCGCGCCATCGTCTCCTCCAAAGAAGCTGGAGTCATAATCGGTAAGGGAGGTAAGAATGTCGCAGACCTGCGGGATGATACCGGGGTCAAGGCCGGCGTGAGCAAGGTCGTGCAAGGCGTGCATGACCGTGTTCTGACCATTTCGGGTGGCTGCGAATCCATTTCTAGAGCATACGCTATCGTCGCTCGCGCGCTCTTGGAAGGCGCTCCCGCGGTGGGAATGGGAGGCGTTATACAGAGCAGCGGAACACATCGTGAGCGTCCCCCGATCACTTACTATTCGCAGCGCGCCACTAATATACAACCCGACCGTCAAGAAATCAAGCTACTCATCTCCCACAATCAGATGGGTACTATCATTGGCAGAGCAGGTCTCAAGATCAAGCACATCCAAGACGTCTCCGGCGTGCGCATGGTCGCGCAGAAGGAAATGCTACCGCAATCGACCGAGAGAATCGTCGAGCTGCAGGGAACACCCGACGGCATTCAGCGAGCTGTCTGGGAAATTTGCAAGTGCTTAGTCGATGACTGGCAGCGTGGCACCGGCACTGTACTCTACAATCCTGTCGTTCGAACCGCGCCCGGCAGTGCGGGGTCCCTTGGCGGTGCTTCCAGTACTGGCGGGGTAGCGTACAGCAACTCGTCCAGTAGAGGTGATTACGGCGGCACTCGTGTGATGCGAACTGGAAACGGTGCCGACTTTAGCAATGGGGGTGTGCGTCCATACAATCGGCGGTCGGACTCTGATGCGGCCACCCGTGGACCACCAACGCACGATGAGAATGGAGAAGAGATCCAGACTCAGAACATTAGCATCCCCGCAGATATGGTTGGATGCATCATTGGACGTGCCGGAAGCAAGATTAGCGAGATCCGCAAGACTTCTGGCGCCCGCATTTCTATTGCCAAGGTAAGACTAACCTAACAATCTTGCTGGGACTTAACGACTGAAAATATTACAGGCACCTCACGACGAAACTGGCGAGCGAATGTTCACCATAATGGGAACTGCGAAAGCCAACGAATCTGCGCTGTTCCTTCTCTATGAGAATCTCGAGGCAGAGAAGATGCGCCGCAGCCAATCGCAACCCGCCGAGTAATCGCTCATCTCGCTGTTATGGGATATGATGGCCATTACAGAGAGGCCAGGAGCCTATTCATCTATCTGGAATATTTCTATTGCTGGGTCTGATTTTGCGACGTACCCTGCGTTTTGAAGGGGCACTTCAGATTTGACTTGCCGCAAGGCTGACGTCCCTTGTTTTTGGGACGGTTCCTATGATATGACATGACGATTTTCTCCTTACCCAGAGGCAAACTTCATTATTGCCTTGTCACAAATTCCCTTTCCTTAATATTTTCTCGAAGAAATCATCACCTTTAGGACACGTGTGTCCTCACACCTGATGCACGGCAGACTCCCGGCAACCACTCGACACCTCAATTTCGAACTTCGATACCCAGGCTGGGTGCTGCGCGAGACCTCGCAGAGCTCTTATTCACTTGACACATCCGTCCCCATGCGTCAGCATCCTTGTTGTATCGACTTCCCCCCCGGCGTACTAGATACGACCTAATCCATGCTTCTACACACGCGCATCGGCCATAATCAGTAACCTCTCCATCTCTTAGGCGATTCGTCGACCCTCGTCTTGTCACAGTGCTAAGATTACCCCCCTCCTTTATCCTCTAATCCACGACACGAATTACCCCTCGATCATATCTCATTTTCCTAACGTCAGAAAACACGAAAGAAACCCCAACCATACTGTACCTCGAATACGTCTACGCCATAGTGCTCACTTTCCACATGGAGCCGGCGGGATGGCTTCTGGGAGATGGTGTTGCCCAGGTGGGTGGTCGTCTAGCAAGATAGTAAGCGTACCTTGAAGATCAGCAATACCATGATTATGGCCAACGTATCGGAAAGCAAATCATAAGAATGGCGGTGGCTAGTTTACAAGTGATCCTTCATGACGTTGAAAAAAGGGAGCAGCATTGGACCGACATTGTGCTTTAGCCAGTAAACATTCCTTGAAGTTAATTGACGAGGGATGGATTGAGATGTTCTAAGATGTCTAGATAAGGAGTATCTAGCAGTAGACAAAGGAAACTTGACCAAAAAAACCCCATGTGCATGGTCACCTCACTCGTGTTTAGTTGGCTGCGCGTTGAATACGATTTTTAATGTGGCATAGTAAAAAGGTGATTGGTCTTTGACGTAAGAGAAGAGACTATTAAGCGTAGCATTCAAACACGTATATTATAGTTTTATCTCCTGTCCATGTGGTGGTCATGCAATCGACATATACTATAGGCAAGTATGCATGCTCAGCCCGGGACTATAAGAGCAGTTCCAAGTAAGGTTAGGAGGTTAGGTAGTTAGGGGAATATTATTAGTGGAAGATCTAGTGCAGGGGGACGGGCCACACCGCCTAGCGGATTCGGTATAATTCTGCCGTTATTCTACTTTTAGATACGGTACTTCGTCCTTAGCTCATGTGGTAAGTGGCCAATCTGTCATCAGTCGCTGATGTGCTAAGCTCGTTATTACCAACTCTCTCGTCGTCTATTTCAAGGGTCTTGCACATTTCTCAAGAGTTATGGAATGTTTTGTAGATTCGATAGTCGGCTAACTTGAATGATAACTAAGTCAATTGTTTACAGCATCTTCACCTCTCTCACACTCGTTTGTTCTATTCCGAGGTTTTATGAATAGATACATACCTCTATTGTACTACAGGTATCATGGCGCGTGTTAAGCAGGCTAAACCTGCCGAGAGACAGCCTTCGTCAGAGTATATCTCGCATCAGAATTCGACACCAAAGAAGGATAACGGCGATGTAGCGGTGCGGTCTAATGGCAATGCTAGTAAAGCAGCACCCGCGCTGGCATCGTCGAAGAAGGACGCGGGCGTAGCGCAGTTGGTGGTTGCTGTTGCTGGTATCTACGGGTCCTTGTACGTATTGAGATGGATATGATATGATATGATATGATATGATATTCTGGTATAACATGGGACTAACTTATTACTTTTTCACCTTCGCAGCCTCACCTGGGCTTACCTCCAAGAGAAACTCACGACGACGCCCCACGGCGCACCTGGCGCGACCGAGGTGTTCAAGTACCCGGTGTTCCTGAACACGATCCAGTCGCTCTTCGCCGCGACGACGGGAGCCATCTACCTCTACGCCAGCACGCCGCGCGGACACGCCATCCCGCCCATCATCCCCTCGCGCCGCATCCTCGGGCCCCTCCTCCTCGTCGCGCTCACCAGCTCCCTCGCCAGCCCCTTCGGGTACGCGAGCCTCGCGCACATCGACTACATCACCTTCCTGCTCGCCAAGAGCTGCAAGCTGCTCCCGGTCATGCTCCTCCACGTCACCGTCTTCCGCCGCCGGTACCCGCTGTACAAGTACCTAGTCGTAGCCGCCGTCACGGCCGGCGTTGCGGTTTTCACGCTGCACTCGGGCAAGAGCCATAAGAAAAGCAGCGCCGACGGGCTGCTGGGAGGGAATAGCGCTTGGGGGCTGTTGCTGCTGGGCATTAATCTCCTCTTCGACGGCCTTACGAATAGCACCCAGGACTACATCTTCGGCGCCTTCCAGCCCTATTCCGGGCCCCAGATGATGTGTGCGAATAACTTGATGAGCACGGCTGTTACTGCTGCGTACTTGGTCCTGAGCCCGTGGCTTGCGCGGACTGGGGCCGGCGAGTGGCTCGGCGTGGATGTTGCGGGTGGTGCGGGCGAGCTTGAGGCTGCGCTGGGGTTCATGGCGCGGCACCCGGGTGTCTGGGCTGATGTGTTGGGTTTCGCGGCGTGCGGTGCCGTCGGGCAGGTTTTCATCTGTACGTATTTTTCTCCCTCTCCCCTTTTCTCCCTTTCTCTATCCACCCAGCAAGAATCAGTACCAGAAAAGAAAACTAACAAGACAACAAACAGTCTACACGCTCTCCACCTTCTCCTCAGTCCTCCTAGTCACAGTAACAGTCACGCGCAAAATGTTCACCATGATCCTATCGGTCGTCGCCTTCGGCCACCGCCTCACGCGCATGCAAGTCCTCGGCGTCGGGCTCGTCTTCGGCGGCATCGGCGTCGAGGCTGCGATCGCCCGCCAGGAGAAACTAGCCAAGGAGGCGGCGAAGCGGAGGGCGGTTGAGGAGAGCGGGAAGAAGAAAGGGCAATGATTTGTTCCAATATCCGCATTCTCTTTTGCGATTGCCCGATCTCCCCGCTTTTTGTTGTATTTGGTGTTCTCTGTTCTTTGTTTCGGCATAGCTGGTCATGTTTGTTTGTTTGTTTGTTTGTTTGTTGGACTAGACTACCTAGCTAGCCGGTAAGTTGGTTATGGTAGTTAGGTAGGTAGGTAGGTGTATCCGCCGCCTTATACGTCTGTATATAGAAGAAGGATATCAATATGTATATACTCTCCGGAGATTAACTACGAGAGGGAAAAGGGGGAAGAAAATGTGCTTGCTAGAGAATTTTGCCATCGATTTAGGTAGTTTTGGCACGTTAGAGGAGAGGAATATAGATATTTCCATATGAGATGATCTGACCCCTTTAATTCCTTATAAAACTAGGTACCTACTTACATGTATGTGTAGGTGAGTTGAATAGACTCCAATATATGACCCATGGAGAGCATTTGAATCTAGGTTTCTCCTACGGCTATTATTTTGTTTAGAAAAGATTAAGAGGGTAGAAAGCAGTCGTATCACGTCTAAAGTTTGAGGTATTAGGTCCTGATATCACGAGCCAACCAGAATAGTAAATCAATAATTACTTTCACATTCGATTCGATACACAAATACCAACACAAGAAGTTTATGAACGAGACACGCCAAGCTGCGCGTCTCCCATTGACATTCGTGAATTATATTTACAAGATGGGAGGTTCGAGGACGCATTATGTCCCCAACCTCCGAATTAGCTACTTTTTCCAGACTCCCTCGAACGCCGTTGCTTGCTCGTTGCTCTGTTTGCACCCTCGAGTACGAGCTTGTACTAATCCCGATTCCAGTCGTCATGGCTTATGAATATACGCCTCGTATACGCTCGAAAGCAAAGGCGGAACGAGAGGGCGATTGACTTCGGGGACGGTCGACGCGTGCTGGATCTCCTTGTTAAGAAAAGCCGGCCGGTCAAGTTGCCAGTGCAAACAAGACCAGCCCAGGCGGAAAGTAATGATGGGATCCTCTTGTGCCCCAGCTTGATTCCTTGCCGGTTCCGTTCCGTATTCCAAGTAATACTCCCTGACGTACAACCTTGGCTTCGTCCCCTTGTATTTTTCTCGCCTTCCAAACCACCAATTGGGGTTTCCATATGGCTAGCCGCAAAAACCAACCGCGCGAGAGCTTCTCCAATCCTTTTTTAGGAGAGGCCTCGCAACTTGTGCCGTCCGGGTATTTGATTCCGCCGTTCCGGTGCTGCCTGAACCACTCCAAACAAAATAAACAACTTGATAGGAAAACAAAGTGACGGTCTGAAGTTGTAAACAAATGAAAAAGACTATTGGCTCATCCCAAGTAAATCTTAGGCTCGGAGTGCATGTGAATTTCGTATAGCATACGTCGCATATCACATCAAGTACTTGCGACGGTTAGAAGGACTATAATACGTCGTCGATAGATCGAACGATAGGCGTCTCGCCCTTAGTAGGAGGGCTTCTCGGATCGGCGACTTGAGTAGGACGTCCAAACGGGTAGAATGGATCTCTCGGAAACATCGACTGTCGCGGAGAGAAGAGGCCTTCACTGGGTGTAGGAGGGACCTCGACAAATTTCATGCCCGCCATCTCCGAATATGAGTCGTGGAGAGGATTGTCGGTCATAATTTCGGCTCTAGGGGACATAAGGGTGTCGTCATCCGGCGGAACAGTTGCAACTAGTATATCTCTTTCGCTATCTGACTCTTCCATGCGTTGTTCGAAACTAGGGCCGGAATCAAAGCTGAATCCGAAGCTTGAAGGGCCATTGGGACCAAATCCTGGAGATGGAGGAGGTTTGAAGAACCCTGGTGACGGAGGTGGCTTGAAAAATGACGGAGCCGGTCGAAGTAAGGATGTCTGGCTCGGCTGCGGAGTCGGTTCGAAAAACCTAGGTGGTTCAAGTGAGCTCCCAAAGTTGAAGCGTCCAGGTTTGCCGGGATCTTTTGGATCTTCCTTTTCAGACCACGAGAAGCTTGATGGAGCAGACGATGGGCCGGGAGATATCGATTCTAGGTTCGGAGTGGACTTTCCACGGGAATGACTCGGGGCACGTTCTGTGTTAACGCCATTGGCACTTCCCTCTTTCTCGTCCGGTAATGGCGCCGTCATCGGTTCTTTCGGTTGCACATCAATCGCGTTTGCGGAGAGTGTAAGACGGTGATGCTTTGTGGGGCTTCTTCCGCTTCGAGGTCCCGCAGAAGATCGAGGGGCGAGCCTCTTCTTGCCCATCTGCTTCTGGAAGTCTTGCAAGCAGTACATTAATCGCATATTCGGACTGATCCATCGGCTCTTCGATTGCGCGGCGTAGTAAGCGTCGTTAACAGTCAGTCTAGGATTTTGGTAAATACCATAGGCAATGATCAAGCTAGCTGAGCGACTTGCGCCCTGCTGACAGTGAACAAGAACCTTCTTTCCTTCCTTTGTACGCTTCTCGATCGTCTCGCAAAGCATCATGAGATCCGTTGCGATATCAGTATTGTGATCCCATGGCATATGGATATATTCAGGCTCGACAAGTGAGTTTCCCTTTGGAGTTGTTGGTGTTTCCGAATCCTCACCCGACGGAGGATACTCGAATGCCGTTGCGAAACTGTCGTTTGTCATAGCAGTATCGGGGACGGGCGAATCTATCTGGCCCATCTTCAAATCCTCTAGGCTATTCTTGCCTGTGGCCTGAAAAGGGTTGGTCACCTCACGAGCTACGTTTATTACCACGTCGAATTTCGATGCTTCCTCCGCGGTGGGTTCCAAGTAAAGGTAAACATTGTCACCGTAGATCGCGATAGGTCCGTCGGGATATCCTGGCGATTTCTGGTCTTCGTTATTTTCCGGTTCAATGAAGGGTTCGAAGTCCATTGCAGCACGATTCGCAAGCTGCGTCTTAATAGGCGAATCCTCCTCAAGAATAGTAGTATCGAAACCTGGACAATGACCTCCCTGTTTTGTTGGACGTAATACTTCAGACAAACCCGAAGTGCCGCGCTCAAGAACAGTCGGGAAAGTCATGCCACCGGCCGGACCAAAAGTTGAGGACTTCAACCCAGAAAGCATGTGAGGCGAAGATGTCGAGTGTTTCAATGATCTGCGTTGCAGAATCGGTGGGAGAGCGGGCGAGCCCGGAACTTCGAGAATAGTCGGCCGAATATTGAGCCCGTTTGAATCAGTCTTCAAACTGAGCTGGCTAGGTTTTCGCTTCATGGCCGGAATCTTTGGCTTGATGAAGGAGGGCGAAGAAGGTTCGGATACCAAATTGGAAGAAAGTGAGCTAGCAAACGGCGGCTGAATAGACAGACCTTTCATGTTCCTTGCTCGCCTCGGGGAAGGAGATGTCATTGGTCTCTCCCGGATGCTAGGGTCATTTACGGTGAGGTTGTTCATCGTGGATGGCAGGCCACCAAAATTGGTACCTGGAAAAGAATTTAAAGGTATTAGATTGACGGGTGAGTCGGGAGAAGATGACGGCGACGGTTCAGAAAGCGAAGAAGTATCTGTTGTTAAAGTTGTTGTGGGAGAAGAATCTGCAGACTCGGAATTTTGTGTCGAAGTGCTGTCGTGGTGACGGTGCGAAGGATCTGTCGGTAAGGGCCTTAACAACGCATGTTGTTGTTGTGGTAACCCACCAGCCAGGTGCCCAGGTGCACACGACGAGTCCATCTCCATCAACTTAGGGTCTACCACAGTTACCAATCCCCTCTCGTCAATACTATTGTCCGCCTCGGGATCGAATATGGACATGAATGAGGGTATTTGATCCTCGTACATTCGTCTAGCGGTGGCCGAAGGCATTTTTAATAACGCCACGAAACGTTCCCTAAACTCCTACTCTTTATCACTTATATTTAATTTCCTCTTTCCTGTATTCAGGGCCTGGACTGTTCGATTGGTGTCGCGTCGCAAGTGAATCGGCCCAAATAAATATAAATAATTCCACAATTAACAACCTGTTAACGAACGATGTCGTAGTTCAACGACTTTGAATGTGCTTTGTGCAGGACAGCGCTGCTGTATCCTTTTTCTTACTCTCAACTTGCTTTCTCCGTCTCTTTCACAGTTGTCACCACCAGATAAATTGAGTCTGGCCACCTATTTATAATCCTCACTTAGACCGAGACACACACGCCCATAACGTCTTTCGCAATAATTGACAACCACTGAGTAGGCAACCGGTAGTTGCGTCGGGGGAGAAAGTATAGGTCTGCGTAAGACTGCACTAGAAGCCGAAAAGGCAAGAAAGAACAATGAATGAAGAGTCTTAAGAAGAGTAGAATGTACCGTCAAGTATTAAAAGAGGTAGAGAATAGAGAGAGTAGGTGTATTTTGTTTTTTCAAATTGCTAGCATTCGGAAGCCATTAGGAAGTCAGCACAGTCTACCTACTACCTTGCCTACCATATAGACGTAAATAATGGACTGTGCGCGGGTAGCAGGTAGGCAGTGCGGCCGTTGGCGATACGGGTTCGTCTCTGGTAATGTTCGATAGGAAGAGAGATTTGGGAGAATGGTTAGGATAGAATTAATTGGAAGATGACAAGCGTTTGGAGAGACAGACACCAGTACCTATGCACTCTCGCACGCGGCCTTCCGAAACAAGTGAACAAGGGGGGAAAAGAACCAGGAAAAAAAACCCGGGGGTGGGCGCAAGTAGAGAAGAGGGAGAGGCGAATGGATGCGGTGGAGGAAGGAGGACGTTTGGAGTGTGTGGAATTGTTGTGTGTGTTGACTGATGAATGGGTGAATTTGGAGGGGAGGAGAAAGAATGGAATGGGGATTGGGATGGGATTGAGATTGCGCTAGAGGAAGCACTTGGCCTTAGCGCGAGGCCGACATGGGCAGTAGAACTGGGGTACAGCCACTATGGACAAAGGCAGTGTTTGAAACAAGTTCGCTACTTGACCTCGGCCTGAAGCGTTAACAAGCTCAATCCAGTGGGTCTTTCTACTATGTAAGTTCCATAATCCCCTACCACAGGCAACTATACAGGATACTAATGCTATATTCCGTAAAGTGATAGGCCATTGCAACAGTACCGACTACCGACTGCCTGCGCTAAAAACGTGCCTTAAATAATCGCAGCCG